ATCAGTTCGCACTCCTGAAACAAAGCAGACATGTTTGTATTATGATGCTTCCTGTTCCTTCTGCTAACGTTAGCAGAGTGTGGATTTAAGGACGACTTACAGATTTTTCCCTCTTTCCAGGAGGACCTCGGCCTCCCTGCAGACAGACGGGGGAACACTAACTGTTAGCTTTGGTTCTCCTGATCATGTTACATGACTGATGCTGCCAGTGAGGGACAGAGGCCTAAACTCACTTTGTGTCCAGAATATCCCGAATCTCCATCCTCTCCTTCTTCTCCCGGTCTTCCCGAGTTCCCCTATAAACCCAAACAGACGTATTTTACAGTAAAGTTTCAGGCTGTTGCTGTAAAATAATCCAGAACCTGAACACTCACAGATCGACCCGGGTTCCCTGTCCTCCCAGGAAAACCGCTGCCTCCTTTATCACCCTTCTCACCCTGAACAAACAGAACAGGCCGTGACTTTCCTGGACTTCAGGATTTTTTCATTTTCTCTGCAGGAATCTTAGACTCACCAATGGACCAGGATAACCAGGAAAACCAGAACTTCCCTGTGGAGAGAAACCAGTCGGTCATAAAACTGTGGAAGTTTTGGATGAAAGCAGCTGATATAGAAGAGTAGAAAACTCTTCAACGAGGACTTTTGGAAATGAAAAACCGATCCTGGGTTTGCTCTACCTTGCTCCCCGGACGTCCTTTTGATCCCTCACCATCCGGCCCATCCTGACCCTGAAAACATCAAAAAGGAAACATTTAAAACGACCGGCCATCACAGGGTGACACTCTGGAGTAAAAAATGTTGAGGTTTGTCTGTTTTTAGCCTCACAGGCTCCAAACGAAGGTCAGGAGAGATAAAAATGCGTCACACAGCCTCCTTCATGGCTCATAAGGGGAGGATTGCTGTTATTAGGAAATCTATCTTGCCAGAGAAAGATAGATTAACCTAACAGGGAACAGACTTGATGAACTAATGTTGTTTTCCCTCCAAATGTTCAAGTGTGAGAAAGTTCTCTATGCCGGGGTTGGGTCGGCTCCCCTGGGGGGAGTGTGTGTGTGTTGGGATTTTTGTAAGTTATATGTATGTGCTGAGCTTTTCGCAGTGAGAGAGGACCTATCTCTCCATCTGAAGACATTAAATAAATTTGAACCTTATTTCTTGCAATAAATGCCTCTTCCTCAGCTTCCTAACTCCACAACAACAACCACCTTCTTGAGATTCCACCAAACATTGCCAGATGCTTTACTTCTTAAAGCTACAGTGTGTAATTTTCAGCGACATCTA